CTCTGGGAAGCGAGGACCAGGGAGCGCTGGAATGTGTGCAGGAACTTGGAGAGAGGAGGCCATGTGGGCTCCCCATAGAAGGCCAGAGGCTAGGAGGACAGGAGAAACCACAGTGCTGGACTGGGTGCCTGGCGGGGTGGCATGGGAAGGACGCAATCCTGGGTCCAGAACCTGCTCCACCTCTTCCCCGCTGTGTGACCTTGGACAGGTTATTGAACTCTGAGTCACAGATGCCAGTCTGTAGAACAGGGCTGTCCCCGCCATTGCTGTGGACTGTCGTGAGAATCACAGCTGATGTATATGGAGGGGCTGCCACATAGTAGGCGCTCAAAAACGGTTGTACTTGATTCAAAAGGAGAGTGGAGAGGGGCCAGGGGGTCACTGGGCTGTGGATACTGTGCTCTGAGTCGGGGGAAGGAGGCTACGCTGAGGGCAGAACAGCCTGGGGACAGGGGAGGTGGAGACCCTGGCACAGGACCCCAGGGATGACCAAAAGGGCAGGAGGCTTCTCCTGGCAGGGGGTTGGAAGCAAAGGATGATGGGACTTGGACTCCCTCTCCTAATTCTGTATCTCTTTGGGATACAGAATTCCTCAAGCCAGGGGTAGATGGGACAAGGTCCCTGCCCCTCAAAGTTCTTTTCTTTATTATTTTATTTCATTTTGGTACTCAGCGATGCTTTACCACTGAACACATCCCCAGCCCTTTTTATTGTTTATTTTGAGACAGGGTCTTGCTACGTTGCTTAGGGTCTTGCTTAGTTGCTGAGGTTGGCCTTGAACTTGCAGTCCTCCTGCCTTCTCCTCTGGAGTCACTGGGTGGGAGGACACCCTGTGACTGTCACATAAAACATTGATTCCCTCCGTTCCTGTTTTCTCTTTTCCTGTTCCCTGCCTCTTGCTTCCTCCTGATCCCTGCCAGGGGTTCTGGGGGATGAGGATCAGAAAAAACTAGTGCAGAAAGAGCCATGGCCCCAGAGAGGACTGAATCCCTGCATCTGAACTCTGGGATCAAATCCCAGTCCCACCTTCCCTGCCTAGGGGTACCAGTCAGGGTTCTTCAGAGAGACAGAACCAGTAGGGGATGGGTGGATGGTGGGTGGATGGGTGGATGGGTGGATGGATGGGTAGATGGATGGGTGGGTGGATGGGTGGATGGGTGGGTGGGTGGATGGATGGATAGGTGGATGGGTAGATGGATATGGATGGGTGGATGGATGTATAGATGGATGGATGGATGGGTGGATGGATGGGTGGATAGATGAGTGGATGGATGGGTGGGTAGATGAGTGGATGGGTGTGTGGGTGTGTGGGTGTGGGGGTGGGTGGATGTGTGGATGGATGGATGGATGGGTGGATGGATGTATAGATGGGTGGGTGGGTGGATGGATGGGTGGATAGATGGGTGGATGGGTGTGTGGGTGTGTGAGTGTGGGGGTATGTGGATGTGTGGATGGATGGATAGATGGATGGGTGGGTGGATGGATAGATGGATGGGTGGGTGGATGGATGGGGACAAGTTTTTAGAGGACTTCAGCTCATGTCATTCTGGAGGCTGAGAAGTCCCACGACAGGACAGGCTGGAGAGGCAGAGGAGTGGGTAACGTGGCTCAGTCCCAGTCCAGACAGCTCTGAACCAGGGGAGCCCATGGTGTGCCTCCCAGAGTCAGAAGGCTAGAGAACCTGGAATTCTCATGTCCGAGGACAGAAGGGGTCTCAGCTCCAGACGAGGAGAGCCAGCTGATTTGCCTCTCTTCTGCCCTTTTGTCCCATCTGGGCCCTGGGCTGACTGGGCCCACCCTGGATGAGGACAGGTCTTCCTTTCCCAGTCCTCTGCTTCAGTCCTCCCTATGAATGCTGCTTTGCCTGCCATCTGGGTGTCCCTCATCCAGGCCACGTCCACACCTAACGTTAACTGTCACTAAGTCCCCTTGGGCAGGTAGCTTTGGGGCTCCTTGACTGGCCATGGGAACCCCCAACCCCATGCTGGGGATCAGACCCTGGCCTTGCACATGCTCCACAAGTGCTGCGCCACTGAGCCACACCCCCAGCTGTTGTGGTATCGAGTTCCACGTGATGTGCTCTGCACAGTGCCTGGACCAGTCCAGCCCTCGACACCTGCTGGCCACCACCATTACTAGCACACGGGTAGCCTCCTGTTCTACTGCCCTGGCTAGCTTTCCCGTGCCACCTGGTCAGCCTCTTTAACAGTCACATCCCTGAGCCTGTGGGTTCTTGTCTACAGTAGAACCTGCCAGACAGGGTTGGTGTTAGGCACGTGGTCAGTATGTGCTCAATGGACACCAGCTGCTGTTAAGAAAGATAAAGGTTTCCAGGGTCACGATAGCCTTATGACCACTGGTGAGAAAAATCAGATGGGCTTTGGGCCAGCTTGATGGGCTGAAGAAAGTTGGTTGGGTCCCCAACTTGGCCACAGGGAGTGCCAGATGCCAGCCACATCAGGTGCAGCTCTTCAGGGACAGCTGTTGATTGCCATTCAGAAGGACACAGCATTTGACCAGAGGGAGCTTCTCGCCTGCTCCCTGGGTGGAGGAGGCAGGGGTGGGATGATGCATCTGGCCATGGGGCACTGGGGACACACAGCCTGCCTCCCTGACTCTTCTCTCGGACCCTGCCTGCCTACCTTCCTGAGCCCATCCCTGTGTAGACCCTGCCCAGGGCTGCAGTGAGAGAGCCTGAGTCTACTGTGGGCTTCACACTCTCATCTCATCCTGAAGTCAGATCATTTCACAGAATGGCCCAGAGACTCTGTGTGAATTACCCACAGTCACACAGCAGATTAGAATTGGAGCTGTGACTTGACAGCTGGAGCAGTTTTCACTACATGTGCTCCTTCAGCTGAGAGCCTGGAAGCTGGTCACCTGCTGACCCCGAGGATCGACCCCAGCACGTCCCACCTGCTCTGTGCCTGGACTCCTTGTCTGGACAAGGAGGAAAGTGGTCCCAGCCACGGGGCATTCCCTTCTGGCCTGCATGCCCCATCCTAGCTGCATGGTGCCCCTTCCCCAGGCTGAGAGTGCATGCTCCTTCCTGGTCCCTGACCCTCACCTCTCATCTGACACAGGCTGGAGGGGGTTTTGAAGCACATGCTCCACTTCCACAGGCAAAATTAAAAGAGCACAGAATGATATAAAGTAAGAAGTGCCCCTCCTACCCTGTCCCCTAGGCTCCAGTCCCTTGAACGTGACCACCGTTACCAGTTTGCTTTGCCATCTTCTAAATCTTCTCTGTTTGTCCATCCATTGCATACTGCGCTCGTTTTGCTTCAGTGGTGTGACATGGGGAGGGTTCCACTCAGTGCCAGGGCGCTTGGCACAGGCCTGCACATGATTTAGCCGGTGCCCTGGAGGCAGGTACTTGGGTTGATTCCAGCCTTCGGCGCTGACCAGCGCTGCTGCAGTAAATAACCCTGTGCATCTCCGTGCGCCCTGAGGCTGGGCGGGAAATTCCTAGAAGTGGTATTGCAGGGCGGAGTGTGTGCCGAAGAAACTGTACCAATAACTTGATCCCTCGTGCTCTGCCAAGTCACTTCCCCACTACCACAGGCGGGAGGCACGCTGCTGGGGTTCACCTTCATTCCCATGAGGCACGAGGAGGCCGTACAGGGTTGTCACTGGGAAAAGAGCACCAGGCCCTGGACAGACAGGGAGACCAAGGCCAGGGAAAGGGACATCTTTGACAATGATACTCATGGGTGGGTACCACCTGCCCTGAACCTGAGGGCCAGCTGCTGCTAAGGGCCAGGGATCCCCTGGACTACTTGGCTGGACTGAATCTTGCACACCCCACCCTCTCTGAGCAACCTCACTGGTCAAGATCCTCAGTCCCTGATCTGCAGCACAGAGATGGGGAGGTGACTCAGAGCAGAACCAGGGTCCAGCTGGAGGCTGGCAGCTCCTAGTGCCGGAGGGCTTGGCTTGGAAGACCAGGGCCTGGTCCTCCGTGTCCTGTCTTCTCACTATTGAGCCATTCTTGCTTGGGGTGGCAGCAAGGCCTGGTGGAGGAGGGGAGTGCCCCCGGCCCCGGGGCAGCACATGGCCTAGATTGGACAATGGTGATGCCAGCTGACAGATCCAGGGCAGCCACAGCCTCCCCAGACGCGGTACAGATCGCAGTGGTCTGACCTGTGGGCCAAGGGGTCCTGCGCCCTAGATGCTCAGACTTACAAGCTTCTGATGGGGGCTGCGGGGGCTGGCATGAAGGCCACCAGGGGAGTGCTGATGGCCGGTGGCCCTGCCGGGGGTGAGAGAGGGCCTTCTGCCAGCCTCTTGGGGAGCGTGGGTTCTGGTTGCCGGTAGGGAGTTGGGGGGCTTTAGGGCCAAGACCAGGCACTGCACTGGCTGGAGGGGTTTTTGAAGCCCAGGGGGGTGGGTCTGGGGAGGGAGTTTTTGGGCCTAGCGCAGGGACCCAGCTGGGTCACTGTGGGAATGCTGACGCCGAGAGGAAAGCTGGTAGGGCCACACAGAGCCCAGCAGCCCCATCTGAGAGGGCAGAGTTGAGAAGCCCGCTGGGAACCCCCAGGGGGCCCTGCAGGATGCCAGCCTCAGGGACAGCCTGTGGGATATGCACAAAGATCAGCCTGAGGCTGGCTGCCAGGAGCTGTGCGTGTCTGACATAAACCACAGATTCACACAGCGCGAATACACAGTATGTGGCTGTCACTAACTGCAGGGGTCCAGGAGCTCAGGAAGGGAAACAGGCGCTGGTTCTGGGGTTGGGGTTCTGAGAGGAGCCACCCAGAGGAGCTGGATGGATTTGGGGAGGAGGATGGAGCAGGTGTGGGGGAGATGGGGAGGCTGGCACAGGGCGCTACAGGTTGAATATTGGGGTTACCTTAGGGATGGAGAACCTTTTGCTGGGCAGGAAGCCCCCATTTCAATCCAAGGTTGCCCTCCCACATCCTTCAGCAGGCTGGGGACTCGAGTCTGGAAGGGGGGATGGGGAACTTTCCTTACCCCCTTGTGTCCCCTCTGCCCTCCAGTGCATGAGCTGCAGAGCCTGCTAGCCACAGTGTCACACCTGCTCATCTCCCCACGGCCACACCATGTCGGGTTCCTACGATGAGGCCTCTCTGGCTCCGGAGGAGACCACTGATAGCTTCTGGGAGGTGAGTGTTTGATGATCCCTATGTCCTGGGGACCAGACCACCCGGATATGGAAGGCTAGGCCCCTGCCCATGCCTTGGGCATTGACCCCTAGCCCCCAGACTCCTCCAAAACCCTCAGTGTTCAACTGGCAGCTGAGGCCACACAGTGGGGTGAGACTGCTGCTCATGAATCCCAGAGCCCCTCTGCCCTCTCGCACTACCTCCAGGGACCCTGTGACCTTTCACAGTGTGGAAACAGGCTCCTCCTGACTCTCTGCTCTGGGGGCGCCAGGTTTGGGAGCTTCCAGAAGTATGTGATACTTGGGGGGAAAAACTGCTTTTGGCTCCTGAAACGCAAAACGAAAACTGCCAGACCTAAATTAATAAGTGTTTAATGAGATGTCTACAAAACATAATATTGTGTCAAGAAGCTGCAGCTCAACTCAATGCTTATATGACTCTGTATAAATATAATAGATTTAGCTCCGCAAGAGCAAAATGAATAATTCATTCTAGCCCAAGTCCAAATTATAAAATTCCTTCTGCATTCGTGACAGTGAGATCATGCTTGAAGTGGGATGCGGGTGCACAGGGTTGGCGGGGTGTGATGCGGGTGTTGGGACCCCCGCAAGTTAGAGAGTCCGGAGCCGCGGGCGCGAGCTTGCTGGAGGCTGGGGCGAGGCGGGCGCCCCCTGCAGGGCAGGGCCGAGGTGGCAGGAGCGGCGGGAGTCACGCGCGCTGCTTGACCGCCAGGTGGGGAACTACAAGCGGACCGTGAAGCGCATCGACGACGGCCACCGTCTGTGCAACGACCTGATGAACTGCGTGCAGGAGCGCGCCAAGATCGAGAAGGCATACGCGCAGCAGCTCACCGACTGGGCCAAACGCTGGCGCCAGCTCATCGAGAAAGGTGCCTCTAGGACCGTCCCCAGCGCAGTTCCAGACCCTGGTCACCGCCCCCGCAAGGGCGGGTCCCCGGAGCAGCCACTTGGAGGCGCCCTGCGTCCTCTAGCCACCAGCGCCTTTTCAGGGCTGTACCCCCCTAGACCAAACCAGGTCTCCCGGTTCAGCTCTTTTTATTTACCTTTTGTATTAAGTTTCTAGAAAAGTTGCAAACCATAGTTCAGAGAAATCCTAGGCACCCTTCGTGTAGTCACCACCTCTCTCTGCCGATCTGTTGGTTTGTATTTCTTTTTTTTTTTAATTAATATTTATTATTTTTTTTAGTTGTAGTTGGACCCAATACATTTATTTCATTCATGTATTTTTTATGTGGTGCTGAGGATCGAGCCCAGGGTCCCGAGCATGCTAGGCGAATGCTCTACCGCTGAGCTACAACCCCAGTCCCTGCATATTTTTTTCTGAACCATTTGAGAGGAAGTTGGAGCCATCATCTCCCCTAAATTCTGCATGTAGGGCCTAAGAACAAGAATATTCTTGTTCATCCAGTTACCAAGTATGGGACATTTAATGGCCCCTAAGTAAATTTGACTATAGCAATGGTACAGGCTGGTCCACGGTGGAAGCCACAATCACGCATTGTATCTAGTTGTCAAGTCTCTAGAATCTAGATTCCCATCACCCAGAACAGTTTCAAGTTGAGGTTTATACACATTTGTTAGTATTTTTCTCTCCCACTAGACTCTCAACTCCTGAAGGCAGGGCTGAGCCTGTACCCCATAGTACAGTGCCTGGCTGGTGCCAGTATGCAGGCAACAAAGGTGAATGCCTGGTCCCTGTGACCTTCTGGCATTGTCACAGTGGGTTCTTGATTTTCCCATTCAGCAACTCTCTAGAGCACTTGCTGTGCTGGCACTGTGCGGGACTTTTGGACACTTGGGAAGCCTTGGCCACCCTGTGGGGCTCATGTGCTAATGCAGGAGACACTGAGTGGGTACAGGGCAGACGGTGCCCAAGGAACCAGTGGGGCTACAGAAGGGTGTGAAGGCCGAGAATCAAAGATGGCGTCCTGGAGGTGGTGGCTGTGTTGGGGCCCTGGAAGGTGGATAGAATGTAGGGAGAGCAGAGGGGAGCGATTCCATAGCCACAGGAAGGAAGTGAAAGGCCTAGACAAAGGTTTGAAGGGGCCACCGGGGAAAGGGTGATGGGTCCTCATTGCCCACGGCCGTTCCCTAGGCCCACAGTATGGCAGCCTGGAGCGGGCCTGGGGTGCCATAATGACAGAGGCGGACAAGGTGAGCGAACTGCACCAGGAGGTGAAGAACAACCTGCTGAACGAGGACCTGGAGAAGGTCAAGAACTGGCAGAAGGACGCCTATCACAAGCAGATCATGGGCGGCTTCAAGGAGACCAAGGAGGCTGAAGATGGCTTCCGCAAGGCCCAGAAGCCCTGGGCCAAGAAGATAAAGGAGGTGCCCACATGGGGTGGGGGTGGGCAGCATGGTCAGGGCTGCCGGTCGCAGGGAGGATGTCTGTGCAGGGGGCAGGCAGTGCACTAACCTCAGGGACTGTACACAGGGCTGAAGCACCCATGTCCAGGAAGAACAGATGGGTGGCCAGTGCCCCATGGGTAGAGAGACCCATGGAGAAGGAGACTGTCCTCAGGCAGGTGTAGGAGGGCACATTGCCCCCTGGATCCACAGATGGGGCGTGTTCTGCATGACCTGACTGACAGGAGGGTGCTTGCAGGGACACACTGTTCCTGAATGCCTGGAGCCAGGGCTGTGTGCTCCCAGCTCCCCGGGAGTGGGCAGTGGGCGGAGCTGATGATCTACCATATTTGCTCCTGCTGACCTGTGGGAGCCCTGTCCCCTGCCTCCCCTGCCCACAGCTGGAGGCAGCCAAGAAGGCTTACCATTTGGCCTGCAAAGAGGAGAAGCTGGCCATGACCCGGGAGATGAACAGCAAGACAGAGCAGTCGGTCACACCTGAGCAGCAAAAGAAGCTGCAGGACAAAGTGGACAAGTGCAAGCAGGACGTGCAGAAGGTGCCGCTGGGCTGGGGTGGCAGCAGGGACCTGAGGGCCATGAGTGGGTGGTGGCTGGGAGCTGCAGATCTGGCAAGGTCTCACCACCCTCCGTCTGGGTGCCTGCAGACTCAGGAGAAGTACGAGAAGGTGCTGGAAGATGTGGGCAAGACCACGCCCCAGTACATGGAGGGCATGGAGCAGGTATTTGAACAGTGCCAGCAATTTGAGGAAAAGCGACTTGTCTTCCTCAAGGAGGTGCTGCTGGACATCAAACGGCACCTCAACCTGGCTGAGAACAGCAGGTACCTGGGCAGGATGGGCACGCAGGGCACAGCACAGCTGGCATGTGGGTGTTTCAGGCCCAGTGACAGGAAGGGGAGGGCAGAGCTGCAGGGGCCACGGAAGAGATGTGTACTAAGCACCCAAGAAACATACACCTGGGTGGACGGGTGAGTGGCCGAGGTGGAGTGGAGGAAGGAGCCCGCTGGAAAACCTGCTTGATTCCTGACTGGGGGCGTGCAGTGCCCCGCCCCCTGCATGGAACGAGACAAGGCCGTGGTGAACCTGTGCCCTCCACCTCTCCCATCCTCCCTTCGCACAGCTACATCCATGTGTACCGTGAACTGGAGCAGGCCATCCGGGGAGCTGATGCCCAGGAGGACCTCAGATGGTTCCGCAGCACCAGCGGCCCTGGCATGCCCATGAACTGGCCCCAGTTTGAGGTGAGGGTGTGTGGGAATAGGAGCCTAGAAAGACGGAAAGGGGCCTCAGACACAACCCCTGAGCCTAACTGTTTCCTGCCCCCCAGGAGTGGAACCCAGACCTTCCCCACACCACTGCCAAGAAGGAGAAGCAGCCCAAGAAGGCAGACGGAGTGGCACTGAGCAATGCCACGGGGGCAGTGGAGTCCACCTCCCAGGCTGGGGACCGTGGCAGGTGAGTGTCTCCCATGGAGCTCCTGAGGAGACAAGGAATGGTCTAGATCATAGCAAGCACGTCTCCTTTAAAGAGAAGACGCAAGCCCGGCGCGGTGGCACACACCTGTCATCCCAGACACTTGGTTTGCTGGGGCCCCTTCAGCTGTGGCTCTCAACAGATGGCTGAAGCAGGAGGATTGTAAATTTGAGGCCAGCCTTTCCTCAAAAAACAAAAGGCTGGGGCTGGAGTTGTGGCTCAGCGACGGAACGCTTGCCTCACACATGTGTGGCCCTGGGTTCAATCCTTAGCACCACATTAAAAAAATAAATAAATAAAGGTATTGTTTCCAACTACAACATATATATATCATATATATATATATATATTAAAGGCTGGGGATGTATCTCAGGGGTTACACCCTGGGTTCAATTCCCAGTACCAAAAATAAATAAACAAAATGTAGAAGTATTGATCCTAGATATCTGCTGGGTGTCAGTGGCCACTCCTCTAAGCATTTTCCTTATGTTAATTCATTCAAGCCTTCTACCACTTTGGGAAATGTGTAAATATTCCCATTTGACAGGTGGAGAAACAGGAACCTAGAGAATTTAGGTGACTTACCCAAGGTCACACAGCTAGTTAGTAAACCTCGGAGCCAGGAAATGATGCCAGGAGGTTTGGCTTCAGCATCCTGGCTCTTGAAACATTAGGAGGTGTTGTTCCTTTCAGATGAAGGAAGGGTCAGCTATTTTTCAGCACACCCTCCCTCTCAAGAGCTGAAATTATAATGCAGATGGCCCTGCCTCAGTTCACTTTTGAGCGGTCCTGAGAGTCACCGGCTCCAGACCCCTTCCCATACGGCCGATCCCCGCTCCAGGCTTGGTGGACTATGGTGCTCCAGCTCTGGTTAGGAGGAGGGGGCTAACACTAAGGACGCAGCTGGGGCCACTCTTGAGGGGTCCTCCGTCTGCATTTCAGCGTTAGCAGCTACGACAGAGGGCAGCCCTACGCCGCCGAGTGGTCGGACGACGAGAGCGGGAACCCCTTCGGGGGCAATGAGGCCAACGGAGGCGCCAACCCCTTCGAGGATGACACCAAGGGAGTCCGCGTGCGGGCGCTCTACGACTACGACGGCCAGGAGCAGGACGAACTCAGCTTCAAGGCGGGTACGGTGGGCGGGGCGGGCGCGTCTGGGCGGGGGCGGGGCCTGAAGTAGGAGGCGGGGCTTGGGAAGAAGCCTGGGCCTGGATTGGGTGGGGCGAGGGCGGGGCCTGAGACAGGGTTGCAAGGATTTGCGAGAAGTGCGCCGGGGCGGAGCCTGGCGCGGGGACGGGGTCGAGAGCGGGTTAGGTGGTGGCTGAGGTAGGTCCCCGCCTCCCGCGCCAGGAGCGGCGCGTGGATGTCGGGTGGGGACAGGGGCGGGGTCGTGGCCAGAATCTAAGCCCAGGTAAACAATCGGAGCATTGGAGCAATAGTGGGGTGGAGGCCCTGAAGGGCTCGCCTGGCCGCGAGTGTACTGAGGGAGGCGCGGCCCCTCTCTGAGCTCCTGTCCTTGTCAACAAGCTCCTGTGTGTGTTCCCTTCCCAGGAGACGAGCTCACCAAACTGGGCGAGGAGGATGAACAGGGCTGGTGCCGCGGGCGTCTGGACAGTGGGCAGCTGGGCCTCTATCCCGCCAACTACGTGGAGGCCATCTAGCTGCCCTGCTGGCTCCTCTCCCCTTCACTCCGCACCCACCGCCTCCCCTTCCTTCCCACTCTCGTCTCCTCCCTCTCGCCATAGAGTTCCAGACATATTTTCCGATCAAGCTTTTATTTTTTTAAAAGTCTAAACAGAACAAAACAAAAAAATACAAAGAGACAGAGCATTTGCAGGGCCACCTGGAGGCCAGGGTGGTGGGGCTTGGGACAGGATGGCCCCAGGGTGGGTGAGGGTCTTAGGACTTAGCCCAGCATCACAACATCTGCTCTTCAGAGTCCACCAAAGAGTCTCCTGAGCCCTGAGGGACATCTTCTGGACCCTTCTACCCTCCTCACCCCACCCTACCCGACCCCAGACTGCCAGTACTATCCTTGTTCTCTGAGCCTGGCTTCCTGACCTCTTCTTCCTCCTCACCCCCACCCCCTTCCACCACTACCCCACTCTCAAAGGCCTCCCCTCAAGACCCCAAGAAGGGAGGCCTCCCAATCTTTAGTCTTCCACTGTGCCCCAGGAGTGCCCTCCTCCTCCTTGCCCCATCCCTTGGGATCAGTGGGACTGGATAAATGGTCACCCTCCTTCCCCATAGAGGTTTCCAGGGGTCCCCAGACTCCCCCAGACATGAAGAGGGGTGAGCTGGAGGAAGTGACATTGTCTCTGGAGAACAGGAAGGTGAGTGAAGGGAGAGTGGGCCCTCAACCCGGCCCATGCCAGCCCTCCCAACACTGGGCCCATCTGGAGGACCAAGACCCTGTCTGGGCCCTTCTTTCTGGCTATCAGCACTGTAGGCACTCACCCTTCCTCAGAGCCACACCCCTTGATAGCTTGCAAAGACCCTGCCCCCTCCCACAAGTCCTTTGGCACAGGGCAGGGGCCCCCCAATCCAGGGCAAAGCCAGCAACAGTAGCAGCCTCCTCCCATTTCCTGGGGAGAAGGGCATCTTGCCTGCCCCTACACCCTCCTTCCGTGTTCATCAAAACTATAGGGTCACTGGGCTCATCTTGGGCCCCCGTAAAACCAAGGCTGGTGCCTGCAAGGCTCCTGGAGTAACCACCCCTCTCTCCCCTCTCCTGTCCTGCCTGGGGAGACACACTGGGGGCCCATGGGAGCTTCCAGCCTCAGACTCACAGGAGAAAGCCTGCAGCTGAGCTTGGCAGGAAGGAGGCACCCCTGCCCTCAGGAGCAGGATGGTCTCCAGTCTTTCCTCCTTGTCCTCCCAGCTCCCTGAACTCCCCCTGCTGGCAGCACCCCAACTGTCCAAACACGGGTCCCAATTAAAGGACTCTGGGTGTGGGAGGGGACAAAGGGTCCTTCTCTTCAGTGAGAGCAGTGGTGCAGAGTGCCAGCCTCTCCCTTGGGGTGGGGGTGTAGGGGAGAGCTTGAGAACAACCAGGTTGACAAGGCCCCCAAAGGTGGATGAGTAGAAAAGTCTAGAGGAAAAGTCTCTTGGAAGTCTCTGGGGCGAGGCCCTCAGAAGTCCTGCTGCCCTGGGCAAGGCTTGCTCACAGCTGGTGCCACTTCTAGGCCTCTGGACTGCAGACACCTGTGGTCCTCCCTTTTGCCTCAGGTGGCCTCCGGGGCCTCCAGGTAAAGACGGCATCCTATCCCAGCCCCTCAGACCCCCTCAGTCCTCTTTCTCTCCTGCTGCGTCTCCCAGAAGCCCACTGTTAGGAGGTGGTATGCCCTGGCACGAGGCTCTGCTCTTCTTCCTATGGGCACAGAGGATCGTGACAGCTGTGGTGGCCGCCTGAGCTAGGGCAAGCCTCCCTCAGGGCCAGGGCAAAGGCACCCCAGGCACAGGCACCCCCCAGCTGCCAGCACCCCTTCCTTATCACTTCTGGTCTCTGAGTCTCTGCTGCAGCCTGAGATGTGCCCTGGGCCTCAGAGCTGGGGTATAATCCCAGAAGCCCATGGCCCTCCCGGCTCCGGGACCAAGCTGCTGCCGCCCCTGAGGGCAGGAGCTGGGCCGGGGCCTCTGCCCCTCACCACCTACCCTGGAAAGGCAGGGCGCTGGCACACCTGCACTTGGGGCCTGGGCTCCCCCTCTCTGTGCCCGTGGCTTCCCAGCACCTGGGGAGGGGCTGCGGCCCTGGCTGGACCCTAGGCTGTCGCCCTTGCACTCCCGCTGACCCTTCAGGGCAGGGACTGGAAAATCCCTTTGGGGCAAGCACCTCCACCGCCCCATTTGGGACCACCTTCTCTCAGTCCCCGAGCTCCTCAGGACCCTGGCGCTGGAGGGTCTCCCACCTGGAAGTCCCCCTGAGCCCCTGGGGCCAGCCCCACCTGTCAGAGCTGGTGTTGGGGTGCCCATGTGCCCACAGCTGCCTCCCACGGCCCCCGCCCACCCTCGATGCTGCACGGGCGCCCGGGGGAGGGGGTGCCCGGCGAGTCATGTGTTTTGTCCCCAGTTAGCACCATTCTACAGCCTGGTTCTGTGAGGGGCCAGGGCTGCCCGCCGCCCGCCACCCACCGTCTGCCACTTAGGCTTCCTGATTCCATTAGTTCAACACTTGTGAAACTCCGAGAAGTGCTGTGGTCTCAGCAATGCACCTGTTTTGTACATGATTGTGTAATTTAAAGGTATATAAATACAAATATATATATATATAAGTTGTGACTGTACGACTGTGGATAAAATCCAGAATTGTGTCAACCTGGCTGGGCGTGCTCGTCTTGAGTTGTGTGCATCTTGGGTCCTGAGGGTTGTGAAGGCTCTTCGTACTGGACATCTGTCAGGGAGGCAGTCCCCCAGCAGGACGGGGGCTGTCCTGGCTGACCACCATGAGGCTGGGGGGCTGAGGGCTGGTCCCTCCACCTCCCAGGGTCTCAGATCCTGTCTATTCAGGGAGGTTATGCTGGAGGTTCTTGGGTACTGGTGCCTGGTGACAGGGAAAGTTGGGGCATTTAGGGTCCCAAACTCACGGTCTAAGGGTGAACTCGGCCTCGGAATAGTTTGTTTATTTTTAAAGCAGAATTCTGAGAGCCAGCAGGGCATGGTGGTGCACACCTGTAATCCCAGCAGCTTGAGAGGCCGAGGCAGGAGGATCAAGAGTTTAAAGCCAGCCTCAGCAACTTAGTGAGGCCCTGTCTCTGAATAAAAATATTTTTTTAAAGGGCTGGAGATATGGCCCAGCTATTGAGTGCCCCTGGGTTCAATTCCCAGTACCAAAAACAAAAAGAGAAAAAATATTCTGGAAGTGCAGGCTGGGGCCTGTGGTTCTAGCTGCCCAGGCTCCCTGGCATAACAGCAGGCCCTACCCTGAAGATGTTTCTTGAGACACCCCCAGGCCCTGCCGCAGCACTAACTCCAGCCCCAGCCTGAGCTCCCTGACACCAGCTGCATCCCTGGTGGGTGTCTTCGGGGCAGAGCAGGAGTCCCGGGCCAGTCCTGTTCTACCACCAGTTCCCTGTGTTCCACCCCCGCCCTGGGTCTCAGCTCCCCCATCCAGTGAGGTGTCTCTGAGGCACCTGTGTCCTGGCAGCTGGGCTGGGGCCCGACACAGCCCCTCACCCCATCGTCACCACCACCAGCCTCCTGCCCCTGGGGGAGCTCAGGACCAGGAGAGGTCGGATGGGGGATTGCATCTACCAGCCGCCCACCTTCCTTACTCCCTAATCTACTTCCATTTGAAGCCTTGGTTTCAGCCAGAGGAATCTTCGAGTAAAGACCAGAAGTCACACTGTCCTGTTTGCGTAGACTGTTCCATTTAGTGATGGGCAGCCCTGGAGGCGCGCGCCTTGAGGAGAGGTCAGGGAGACCCCTGGCTGGGGGGTGGTGCTGATGGGGCCGCGTGTGGAGGGGGAAGAGGAGCCCACGTGGCCCCTGTGGCCCCTCACGAGGTGTCACTGCCAAGCGTTCCTGTGCAGGGGCTGCCCCCTGAGGCCCCCAGGACCCCTCTTTCTGGAGCTGCTCCATCTCCCCACTCCTTGCCCTACTCCCCCACCCCTCCTGCTCCTGGGCCCCTCTGAGCTGAGGCCGCCCAGGCCCTGGCCCAGCCGGGACATCCAAGCAGGTGGCTCCAAGACTCTTTGGGGGTGGGGAGGGCGGGCCGGAGACAAAACCAGTTCCGCAGAGCTGAGCCTGGTTCTGGCCAGGGCCCCAGTCTGCCCCCTCCCCCAGGGATGGGTGACAGCCAGGGCCCAGCAAGGCACAGGCCCGGGGCAGGGCCCCTCCTTCCCCAGGACCCATCCCAGCTGGCAGACGCCAGGGTGCTGTTTGCTCACTGCCAAGGTCAACTTCTCCTGAAGACAATGAAGCTGCTGGAGGCAGAAGGCAGGGGACAGGGCAGGACTTGACCCTGGTGGGCTGGTGGCGCTCGTTCCTGCCTGCTTTCTGGAAACCTGGCCTCAGAGGCAGAGGCTGTGGACACTGAGGATGCTGAGCAGTCATGGAACAGGAGGATGGAGGGACAGGAAGAGCCCTGTCCTTGGGGAGAGATGGACCAAGGTTCCCTTTCTGGTTCTGCTGCTACTCAGCTGTGTGATTGCAAGCCCGTGGCTTAATTGCTCTGAGCCTCAGTTGCATCATCTGCAAAATGGGGGCATGAACTCTGCTTCAAAGCTTTATTGGGACGGTCAATGACAAAAAAAAAAAAAAGCAGCAGGAACACCTGGCACATGGTAGACGCTTGGACACATAAGCTGGTGAGTCAATGTGGGCGGAGCATAAAGAAGCTAAGGGAAGGGCTGGGGCTGTGGCTCGGTGGTAGAGCGCTTGCCTCGCATGTGTGAGGCACTGGGTTGGATCCTCAGCATATAAAGAAAATAAAGATATTGTGTCCAAGTACAGTATATATATATATGAAGAAGCAGCAGCAGCTAAGGGAAGCCGGGTGCAGTGGCGCATGTCTGTAATCCAGGGGCTCAGGAGGCAGGAGGAACATGAGTTCAAAGCCAGCCTCAGCAAAACAAGGTGCTAAGCAACTGCAAGACCCTGTCTCTAAATAAAATACAAAATGGGGCTGGGGATGTGGCTCAGTGGTTGAGTGGCCCTGAGTTCAATCCCCAGTACCAAAAAAGAAGCTAAGGGAGCTACTTGCTCAGAAGAATGGACGGTGGGGCTGGTGTCCCCCCAAATAAGCTCAGGTGCCCACACCCCTCCCAGGCAATGGGTGCAGCTCTCATAGATTCTTACTGGGACTCACAGCCCTGCGGATGGTGCTGCTGTGGCCTTCAGGGGACAGAAACTTCAAGGAAGCAACCTCTCTCTCCTACCATCTGCACAGAGCCAGTGTCCCATAAAGGGACTGAAGTGCCCACCCCTCTCCCCTGTCCACTATGCTGCAGGTCCGGCGGCCTCAGTTGGCCTAGCAGAGATCAGGGCCCTGGGCTCCCTGCCACTGTCACAGGCTGCAGAGGACGCCCCCCCTCTCCACAGGACACAGGCGGAGCCCCCTCGGCCCCGGCCCTGCCTCCTGCCCTCAGCCCATCAGGAGGGAAAGATGAAGTGGCCGGTTCCAGACTCCCCTGGTCCTGGGGACTCACGGTCCATCTCACACAAGCTTCTATCCAGCAATGCCAGCCCAATGCCACCTCCCCCAGGAAGCCTCCCCCACCACCCCAGGCCCCTGGGACCACAGCCTTTGGGCTGCAGATGGCTCTCCAGGCTGCGCCATTCACTTCCACGACACTGGGGACCTGTCAGTTCACTCATGTCTTTATTATCCACTCCTGGGGTCACGTCTGACCCCCCAACTCAGGACGCACCACGGAGGCACGGTGCGGAGGTGTGGCAGGGGATGTGGCAGGAAGAAGCGCAGCCCTGCACGTGAACTTGGCCAAGTCCTTGCCATTCTGTGGGCTCTGCTCCGCAATTCTGGGGTCAGAGGCTGGGTGGAAGGAGGCTCTCCCTCTCCCTCTGTCCTCCAGGGGACGACGCACGTGAGCAGTGAGGCCCTAAGAGGAAGCACCCCCACCCAGGGGTCCAGGAGAGCTCACTGTGGCCCTGGGATCGCGGGCCATCCCCTCCCTGACCTTGGCCAGCAGCACGCCGCCCGCCCGTTCTACCCAGGCTCAGGCTCTGGCCGAGGCAGAGGCCGGGGGGCGAGAGGGCCCTGAGGGTGGTGTCACGCCTGGGCCCTCCGCAGCCCTCAGATGGGGTGCACAAACTGGTAGACGAGGCGCTGGGAGACGTCGGGCTTGCGGATGATGCCCTTCTTGTAATACTGGCGGATAGAGCGGCTCAGCTTGTCGTAGTTCATGGCGGGCCGGTTCTTGCGGATGCCCCACAGCCGGGCCACCTGGGCAGAGTCCTCGATTTTGAAGATGCCTGGGGGAGCAGAAGGGCCCACGGACAGTCAGTGTGAGTGTGGGGACAGCAGCAAAAGGCCAGATCAACAGGTCAGTCTGCAAATCAAGGGAACGGGGACCCTGGCTCCCTTCAGCTCCAGGCCCGGGGGGGGGGCAGGCTTCGGGGACTGTAACACCCCTGCCCCTGTGTTGCTGAGGACTAAAGGAGCCTAGGACAGGCGCCACAGCCCCCACGAATGGCCGAGGAGTCTATGCAGGCTCCAGCCTCCCAGTGTGGTCTGGGAAATTGGTGGGGTCTTTGGGGATCCGCGGGTCTGGCCCTTGTCACCACCGGCCACTCCTGTTGTGGAGATGGCATAGGATCCTGGAAGCCCTGCTGGGCCCCTTTCTGTGTCTGTGACACACTTGGCAAGATCTCTGGGCCCCTGTCACCCACCCCCCTGGACTTCCTACTCCTGAAACGGCCTCTGCCGTTCTCTGATGTCCCAGCCACACAAGGGTGGCCAGAGAGCAGGTCTGGAGCAGTCCCCAGGCTGGAGCCCTGGCCCTGCTGAGGCTCTTTGCCCCTGTCTATGGGAGGGGGTGGCAGTGGCCACCATGGGGTGGAGTCCTTACAGCAGTGTTTAGAGAGGAGCCTGAGGAAGGGCCCCGCGGGACAAGCATTCCATTGTCACCACCCTCAGTCCTCATCCTGAACCCTCCTGCCCAGGCCCAGGCCCAGGCCCGGCCAGCACGCCCTCTCCAGGGAGCGTCCCCAGGGCTCGTCCCTGGTCTCCAGTGCACACAGAGGCCAGCACACCCTGCGCAGGAGCACTGCCCCACCACGGCTCGTCCCTCTGCCCTCCTCTGAAGTCTTCCTGGACCGACACAAGTGATCCCCTCCTTCTTAATACAGTCCCCAAAAGGTCCCCACAAAGCCCATTTCACTGCTATTTTTCATACAAGACTGTGGGTCCCTTGAGGACAGAGTGTGGCTGTGCCCGCCCCAAACCCTCAGGACACTATGATTCTCTGTAGTGACTGAGCACAGGCACAGTCAGGTGAGGCCCAGCCTCCCACAGTCAGGCTCCTTGGTTCTAGGTGTTGAGGGACACACGCACTCGCCATCTAGCCCTGCGCTGTCCAATACAGTGGCCACCAGGCACTGGTGGCTGTTGAGCACTTGAAATGTGGCTGTCCACATTGAGATGTGCCCAGAGTGTGAAAGACACACTAGGTTTTAAGACGTAGCCCAATGCCTCAGAAATTGCTTGTTTGTTACACGTTGAAATCACAGTAACTTACACCAGCAGATTAAATACAGGCCGAGCATCCTGTGAAATTCTTGGGATCGGAACTGTTTCAGATTTTGGAGTTTTTAGGATTTTGGAATATTGGCGTACACTTTACCCACTGGACATCCCTCATGTGAAAACCCCAAATCTGCCTCCCTCCTCCCCTCTTGGGGCCTCTCCTGAGTCACCAACTCCTCTCCTTGTCCCACAGCGGCCTGGAGGGAGCAGATTTCAGATTTTTGAATTAGGGATGCACAACCTATATTATTAAAATCAAATCTGTTTTTATTTTCCTGTCCACATATATCTCTTTTCTTTTTGCAGAGCTAGGGATGGGACCCAGGCCTCAGGCATGCTACATCGGATCCATCCCAAGCCCCAAATTTACATCTTTTTAAATATTCCAAAAGGCAGCTGCTAGAAAATTCAAGTTACAGCCAGGCATGGTGTCACACGCCTGTAATCCCAGCTGCTCAGAAGCCTGAGACAGGAAGATCTTGAGTTCAAAACCAGCCTCAGCAACTTAAGGAGGCCCTAAGCAACTCAGTGAGACCCTGTCTCTAAACTATAAGAAAAAGAGCTGGGGACGTGGCTCAGGGGTTAAGTTCCATATGGGATGCACATGGTGTCTGTTCCTGGGCATCTTTAGTCTCCTCAGTGACGCTGTGATGTTTTGAGGACAAAGGCTGAGGCTCCTTCTCAGCAAGCACTGTGCAATTTCTGAGGATCCTAAACAGGACAGAGTCTAACCAGGAGACAGATGAGGTCACCATGGCAACCAGACCCTCCGTGGCAAGTTTGGTATCCAGGGTGAATGTGGGGCAGCCCCTCCCCACCCCAGGGCGCCCCCTCTCTCACCCTTCTCCTTGTTGAGCCACCGGATGAAGCGACCATAGCTGTGGGGCTTGAGCAGCAGCTCCTTGAGGAACTGCCACAGGTGGATGGGCTGTCCGGAGCAGGACGAGTCCACCTCGCTGTCGGTCCAGCTCTCCTCGCTGTTGGAGGCTGGTGGCCAGGGAGGGGCAATGAGTGGGCAGCTGCAGCAGCAGCCGTCTGTGCCTCTGCGGCCCCTCAACCCACCCGCGCCCGGTGCCTCCCTGCCCTGCCTGGCTCACCGCAGCAGTGAACGGCGCCCGGGGAGGTCCTCTCTTTCATCCAGGCCGCTGTGGGACAGGGAGAGAAGGTTGGTGACCCAGGAGAGGCCCCAAGAGGGGAGGAGGGAGGCGTGTGGGTAGGCTTATGGGGGGTCCCTGTGGCTCCCTGCCTCCTGCCAACGTGCACAGTCAGGTTGCTTTTCCAGGAGCCGCTGGGTGAAGGGTAGGGTTTCAGAGCTAAGCCGGAGGTGGAGGCCCTGCCTGTGCTGAGATGCAGGGGCCACGGAACCCCCCAGAGGGCCTTCCCTCTTCCTGGAGGGGCGGGGCACCCCTGCGGAGGCCTGGCCTGGAGTGGGTGTGAGGTCTGCACCTTGCTCAGCGCAGGGCATCGTAAACACCAGCTCCTGCCCTCCAGCTGCCAAGTGCACCAAGCAGAGCCACCCCCAGCTCTCCACCTGGCCCTCTGGTCTCTCCTGGGTGAGGCAGCTGGCTAGTGACCAGGAGGTCACCACCCACCCACCAGGGGCCTGGGCTGGGCAGGCACGGGTCTCTGATGGAGTTCTGAGCGGGGCCGGTCCCCGTATTCATTGCAGGCCCCTAGGGACAGGTCCGGACTCACTGAGCAAGAACCACATTCTCCAAAGAGCTGATCTGCACAGGACACAGTGGTGTCCAAAGAGATGGGGACAATTTAAACACGCAGGGGTTGACAAATGGCCACCAAAGGAACAGGGCAGCTGTGTGTCTGCTGATGGGAAGCAGGTCCGACACACTGGAGCCAAGAGCAGTGTGACCCACAGGACTCCTTATGGATTTTTTTAAAATACTGTTTTAGTTGTTGGTGGACCTTATTTTACTTATTTATTTATCTGTTTGCTGAGAATCGAACCCAGGGCCTCGCATGTGCCAGGCAAGGGCGCTACAACTGAGCCACAACCCCAGCCCATGGGTTTGTTTTTTGAGCATTAAAACTACATTCGTACATTTGCTTGAAGATGCATAGACTTTCTCAGGAAAGATACCCTGGAAACTGGTGACAGTGGCTGCCACTGGGAAGCACTTAGCATTAAGGCCAGGGCGGGGGGGGGGGGGGGGGGGGGGCTGCCCGCGAAAAAAATATT